TGGAAATTAGTGATAGTTTGGTAAGACGCATCTATGATGAAATTCAAATTTGTTGATGCGGATGTAAGTAGTCTAATTCACGTGATCTTTAATGTATATATAAAACCAAATAAACCTATCATTCTCAGACCTCCCAAATCTTTAGTAACTACTTTTCTTCTCATTCTATCAACTGAAATTCTACACATAAATGTAAAGTAGAATGCTAATTTAAATTAAAGTTTTATTTGATGACGATAGCAAGGACAGAGGTTGATGACTTATTTTAGATAATATTAAACATTTTACAATTGTTATTCTACAAATGGTGTAAAAGCTCTTTCTTACCACAGGTTTGCAATTCCCTATTTCTTTAATATTATTTGCACATTTTATTCCTACCATTTTCAAGCTTATTTGCTACTTAATTCCAGAAAATTTAGAACTTATATAAAAGACCAAGGCAGGGTTTAATATTCCCATCTACGTAAATGTTATCTTCGGCATGGAGGGATAAGATAATCCCTAGTATTAATTTGTTATTCCTTTATGTTTGAATTACCGCTTAAAATGTGTACTATTATCTCTGATAATATATTGTACCACTTGCATATATATATATATATATATATATATATATATATATATATATATATATATATATATATATATATATATATATATATATATATATATATATATATATATATATATATATATGTAAGCTAAGGGTCTCTTTCCTTTTCCTTCATCCTCTTTGTATGTCAAACCAAGAAGAGATGCAGCTGTATAAATTTACACATTGTTTTATATTATTATAAAAAAATTTACTTCAAACATCTTAGTACTTCGTCAAAAGACATAGTAGTTTATAATGACGAATTCTGCAAGTTAACTAGTTTAATTATATTCAAATGATTATATAGTTCATTTAATTTATGGAATCAACTTCCCTGCATGCTCAAAATATTATATAGTTTCTTGTAAACTTTTCTTTTTAGTAGATGTCCTTCCATTAACTTAGGCATCATTTCCCTGATAAATTTATTTTATCAAAGATGCAGAAATACTTTGTAACCTGTTCTCCTTCTTCAACTATTTTTAAAATCTGGAACGGATCATATTCCCTTTCCCTTTTTTATTGTATTCCACCAACTCTTCCTTTCTCCATTTTAAATCTCGCGAATTTTCTTTTTACACATCATTAGTGTCCTCTAATAATCATACTTCTTTAATTATGTTCTTCGTTTTCTTCTGTGTGACAGGAGAAATATTTTCACCCCTTATTTCTAATAATAATGTTTTCGAAAATAATTATTTATTACAAATGGTATTTGACATTCAGCATGTAGAATTTCATGTGGGTTTTTAGCATATTTTTTTACAACATCAGGTACAATTTGTTTAATTTGCTGGACATATTCTGCATGTTTCAATTAGAAATCATTAACTTCCAAAAACCTTTTCCCCTTGGAAATGTAGGAATTAAAATTTAATAAGAACGAAAGAGTGATCTGCTCTGTGCCCTGGTTGGACCAATGCTTCCTTAACACTCACTAATGCATGTTTTGATGCTTAAAAAAAACACACAATAATAAAAAAACAACAAACAAAAAACCTATACATGGTTGTTTAAAAAGTGTGTTTGTCTCCAAGAGTCTCCATCCATGGTTAATTTCCCCCAAGTCTGATTTAAATCTTGGCACAAATCGAAGACCTATTCTTTTCAAAAGGGATTATTGATATTTATTTTAAATATTTTATACTCATTTACCAAGAAATCCTTTTTGATTCAATGTAGTAGCACTGTTCGTTGTCAGTTCATTGCATCTATCTTAATTACTGACACACTTGTTGGATCCAGACGCCCGGTCCCCTGGCCACACTTTCAGTGATATAACACTTATCGCAATTGCTAACAACCACAGCTGGAGTTCCGAAACCAGGAAGGAAAAGGAATCTTACTGGATACGCCGCCTTAGAACATTGAACCCAAGCGGTCTAAACCACGAAGACTAGAAAAAGTAAACAATGCACTAGTAAAATTAGTCTTTGTAGCCGACACAGTTTCTTTTCAAATTTTTCTTCTTAGTATCCTTTAATTAATACTATAAGAATAAAATATCCGGTATATAATCAAATATTCAGGATATAATTTGCGTTACATAAATGTACACAAAGTAGGAGATGTCGCTTTGTCTCATAGACCTTTAGGGAATTATAAACATTCTTCTGTATTCGCAACAAGTCTATACAGGCTGGCTGAGACAATATATCTATAGGTTTAACTCGTGTAGAGACAGCCATGTAGAATTTTACAAACACAACGTTTTTGTGTTTATTTGTTTGTTTTGTATATGTTTCGTATTTGCCTTTGAAAAAGACTCAGAGTCGAAAGCGCTCAGGCTAGTTAGTTACTAGTTTCGCACTCTTCGTCGTCAGTTTATTGCATCTATCTTAATCAATTTTTGATACACGTAATCCCTTGTATGTGTGTGTGTGTGTGTGTGTGTGTGTGTGTGTGTGTGTGTGTGTGTATGGTATTTTCTACAACTTTCGGACACTATGTCTGGTGAGCTATTATTTATTTTTTTCTTTTACAGACTGGTGTTATATTTGATCTGATTTTTTATTTTAAAAAAAGTAGATCTTTACCATCCATCTGAAAGACGCAGATCGCCGTGCTCTGTTAATCTATACATCGTTTATTATTATCATCAGTACAATCTTTGATGTATTTGTACGAAATGAAGGGCACTATCAATCGTGTTTGGAAAGAAAAAAAATAACCAGTCATTAGTGTCATATCGATGCATATCTAAATATAGATTAAACATTTGTACCATTAATAATCACTTACTTATCGGAAGCCATATCAATATTTTAAAAATCATGAGTCCGACAAGCGTTTTGTTTTAACGTGACTGCTAAACTCTCAGATCAGGTAATAATATTATATATAGAAGAATAGGGGAACCTGTACGGCCCAAAATGTCTTGGAGATAATGGCACCCATTTGCAGTTATTTTCTTCTCCAGTGTCTTTACGTGCGTAAATTAAACAGATGCTCTATACATCACAATACAGAAACGGATTAATCGACTGGTGACAAAACATGTCTTCTAGATAAGGGAGAATAGATCGTCCAATGTGAAAGTTACAAACACCAGTCTGAATCAGCAAAAGGCTACTATTGATTCAACTAGAGCAAACAATGCAGAAGATGGGGTGTTTGTGTTAATCATTCTAACACAAGCAGTTTTGTTGTTATTGTTATTGTTTTGTGCAGAATATAATTACGAGTCTTAAAAAAGATGCTCAAACCACGGAACTACATGAAAATTGACAAAAAGGTTTTGGACTTGTAAGTTTTTTTTTATTTTCTACAGATTTATTTGGTGTCATTAAAATGACTTTAAAAGTATGAATTATATCAAGTGTTTTGAAGTTCTATGATGCGGCAACACTTGAAGGTAACATCATGACCAGACCCGGTAAAGTAGCCTGCTCAGGGAGACAAAACTTCAACCGATCCAGGCTGATCCGATGGTGGGAGTCAAAACCACACATTTCTTATCCTAAGTCTAGCTTCTAAAAATCTCTTGGCCACTGTAACAAAAAAAAAAAAAAAAAAAAAAAGCTAACTGAAGTGGTATTACCATGTCTCAAGATCATCTGGTATGGCAAAAACAATTTTGTAAGGCACAGTTAGGGGGTGAGGAAGAAGAGGCCGACAGAAAAAGAGGTGAAAAAAAAAAACAACATTGAAGAGTGGACCGGCACGGGATTTGGAAAGTCGCCAAAGGGCATTAGAGAACAAGAAAAAAAATGGAAAGAACTGTTGTAAAGTCACTTGTGGCGCCCCAACGAATCTTGGGTTACAGAATTGTTGTTGTTGTTGTTGTTGTTGTTGTTGTTGATGATGATGATGATGATGATGATGATGATGATGATGATGATGATGATGATGATCGTGATGATCATGATGACCTTAACTACTGAGCACCCTCTGCTGTGAACTCTGTCAGATATAAAAATTGTTTACACTTATATGTGGTATTTAATATAACTTTACATATATGATTGGTCATATTTTAAAAAAAGAGAGAAAAATGACAAAAATGTAAAATTCGCTAATAATTATGCAAGGTTGATGAGGTTGTTATTAATCACCCTTCTCCTATTAGCTATAAAGCTAAGTTATGCACACCCAATTCTCATTCAGAGCCTCTTAAGATTCTATAAAGAAATTAAAGCTTTTCTTTACAAGATTATATTTTGAAAAATAACAATGTCCCATGTGTGGATTTGAACAAAGACCAAAAATTCAAATGCATTTGCGCTTTTATGACTGCGAACACTTTAATTGGATTTTGTTATAAGTACTCGTGCAAATCGAATTGCATTGACACATGTCAGTGAATATTAGAATCAGATAAATGTATTCTTTATTTAATTGCATAGTATGATATGGATCAAAGAAATAATTCAGTTTCAGAGATTTAATCGGATCTTTTTAGCGAAGGGCGAAAATTCATGACACTCTCTTATGCATGAAATTCTGAATAAGATATTTAATTATATTTTATGGCTGACAGAAAATTGACGATACTAAATTAGTCATTAATGGAAGGAGTAGTAACTCCACCAGTATTTTCATTAATCATAGAGAAATTTTTGTCTTAGAAATCGAAAAGGACCCATTCACTTTTATAGATACAACTTTATACCTAAAGTATACGTGAACTTAATGATTCCAAATGAATGACAGGGGTTAAATACTTAGAGGTATCAGCATTCAGCTGATGGTGATAGGCTTTGTTCAACAATTCATGCATTTAGGACCGTGACCGAAGATTAATAAACGTACATAACTAAGCTTTACTTAATGTCTACATGTAAAAATCGATTAGCTTTTTATTGTGGCTGTTGATTGGTGGTGCTTCTGTATATATGTGGCGGGCTAATTAATATTACCTGTATGATAACGTTTTTTCCTGTTTTTTTTTTTCTCCATATCGGACGCTTCTGTAGACTAGTGGTTAGAACGTCTGCCTAGGATGCGGGAGGTCGTGGGTTAGAACCCCTGCTGAGTCATACCGAAAGCATACACATTGTGCTTACAGCTACCTCGCTGGCGCTCATCATTAAGAGGTTAGTGCCAGGACTGGTCGGCCTGGTGTCAGTATATTATCACTTGGTGGGACAAAATGCTAAGTATCTGCGGCATGAAGTATTAAAATAACTGCCACATTGCAGACATAGTAGCGATATGACTGAAAAATTGTTAAAGCTATGCTAAAAATCCAAATCACACATTCACGCACACTCTTTCTTTATGTAATATCACGCATCCTTCAGTACAATCTTGTCACAGCTCTTTCTGTTTTGACTGGTGTAATAACTCCTCTTTATGTAGATGTATGTCAGATCAATCTGAAGCGATTTGTCTATAAAGGAGAATTATTTACTTTGTCACCATTGAGTGTGTCTGGCAAACACGTATAATTGTATGTACGATTTAAGTTCCATCCTTCTTTCTTTTTTTGGGAGGGGTCCGGGTAGAGGTGTACATTTGGTTCGAATCTCAGTAGGGGAATAATTGAAAATTAAATAAGCTAAAATGACAACGTAATCAGTATCACGTCAATAATGTTTTAGGTAGATTAGAATCCCTTTTAGAGTTATTCATTATTATTCTCAAACTGGCGTTTTGCTTGTCTTTTTGGAATAGTTATATGAGTGATGATCGTAGCAGAAGGAGAATAATCTTGTTTTTCTTCCCTTGCTTTCTTTCTGTCAAAACAACTTAGTTTTTTAATTGATAGTTTCCTTAGCAATTCAGGGGAAATAACCACCTCAGACCAAGTAAGATGATAATGGCAATGATGACATCCCTTGTACCTTTCGTTCTTTGGTGAAATGTACTCCTTTTCTTATGATACAATATACAAACATTTATGCCTTTAGTCACAAATATATTTTTTGAATTTCGTATTTCTTGACATTATTTTGCTAACAAATGTATAACGATCTTGAGGACGGGAGGATTGACCGTGCATTTGTTAAAAACAAATATTCCATATTTTTGAATATTCTCAGCGCATGCCCAGCGTCTTGAGACTTGAAATCTGTATCAGAATTTATCCATAGTTACAGCTTAAAGGTCACCGGCTACCTATATTGTACAAAAGTGTGATAGTATTATAGTCATAAACAAAACGCATTTGTTATATTTGCCTACCATAAAAATGCTTAATTAGGCTTAAAAATCCACATTTGTAGAAGAAAAAATTATTCGGCAATCTCCGTAAACAATCAGTAGTTACCGCTCGCCCAATACGGATATGACGTACATTTATCCCTTCTATTCAACCTAACAATATAAAGTGTTTGATTTCACAACATAAATGTATTTGTGATATATCTTACGATTGTGCTTTTGTACAGCCAATAAGATGCACTTTGTTGCATATGGATGTAACCAAAAGAGTGATGATGGGAAAAAATGATTCTTTCTTTTCCCAAAAGACCCTGTTTACCAGAAAGCAAATTCAAGCTGTGATAAAAGTAAGGCGAGAGGATGGGAAAGAAGTATCATTAATGCTGGATTATAGTCAATTTGGACCAAGACAATTCGGCCCAACTCGAAAGACAATTCAGCTCAACTTAACACTAGTTTAAACAATTTCCTTTCTCCTTTTCTTAAAACAACAAGTAGATACTATGTAAGATACCTTTTAGGAATAGGTTTTAGGGGGAAAAATAAATTTAAACGAAAAAAAAATCATACTTTGCATATATATATATATATATATATATATATATATATATATATATATATATATATATATATATATATATATATATATATATCATATATATATGAATGAAAACACACGCAGACATATCTTGCTTATTCTATCTAAACTATTTCTAAACATTTTTAGGCAATAAATTTATGTAACTGCACAACGACATTCTCAATTTCAGTCTACTGGTTAAATTATCAATAGTCATTTATTAAACAATAAAACTTATCAGATAATATTCTACAGAACATGTCTAAGTTTTCTAAGGGAAGAGTACATGAGATATTAAAATAAATATATTTAATTTTAGGCCTCACGTTGTAACACTGCTGCATATGATACACACACAGTTACACAACAGAGAGAGAGAGAGAGAGAGAGAGAGAGAGAGAGAGAGAGAGAGAGAGAGAGAGAGAGAGAGAGAGAGAGAGAGAGAGAGAGAGAGAGAGAGAGAGAGAGAGAGAGAGAGTAATGTATAGCATTTTGTCAATGTTGCTGCAATATGAAGCTAGTTACTAGTTAATTTTATTGTTTGTTTTAATTTTTCATCTTTTCTTAGTGTGCGCGCGTAAATAAAAAGATTGTCACTACTAGCCAATATCGTCAATCATATTTGCTCTATTATTCCATACAAATAAGAAAAGAATTTGTGTCCCTCTCCCACTCAAGGTAAAACAAAAATGATAAACATACACTTATTTGAAAATAAAATGAAAGCCATTTGTTATAGAGAAAAATGTACCCACAAAAAATATACCCATGTAGGTTGCCGTTCTTACTGTAGGATATATCGCTTATGTCAAATCACAAAAGAGACGACAATATCAACCGATTGCTTGTAAGCATCTCCCATTCAAGCATGACGTTACAAGGTGCTACTTAACTTAGATTGTATTGTATCCATGCTAACTATACGATGATTCGATGGTATCTCTCAAATAAAAATCAATATTTTAAAATACATCCACAGAATGAAAATAATAATATTTTCACTAGCATGGGTTACAAAAGTGTTGTTAAAGCACGTTATTATTGTGTATACTATTTGCCCTGCAAACTATAAATTATGATCAGATCTGGGGAAACAAATAAAAGCCTGGGTGATGGATAAACACAAAATGAAGCGAGCAGTGAACTCTTTCCTTAAACTTTCCGACAGGATATCAAATACAAAGGTTATTTGATTACAAAGCAAACAATCCCGAAAACTGACTGATATTTTTTTTTTAATGTGGTGATTTTTTTTTATGAAGTCGGCCCACATAAGAAAGTCAAGTTCGGTGTCTTCGAATTCTTTTAAGTGTGCCGATTTTCTTTTCTTTTTTAGAAAAGACGGCCGACATAGAGAAGCCAACATTGATTCCATTTTACCTCTATTAACGGAAATGTTTTCAAAATAAATTGAAAAATAAAACAGTTTTGAAAGCGACACAATCTAGTGCGTCGAGCACGCATATCGATACAAGGCTGTAAGGTAAATTAGTTTTCAGTAGTTTCGTCTAAATGTTCCCTATCCATGGTTTATAATGTTTTATTTTCCTACAGCAAGAAGCATGTACTACGTGTTGTGGGGTTAATGTACGTCAGTTCCGGATAGCGTCCTCTATAGGTTGGAAATCGTAGCTAAGGGGTAATAACTGTGTTGTATAGGTATTTTTCGAGTAATAAAATTATTATTCCTTATTTACACTTGATAATGTGTTTGTTCTTTTTGTGTGAGTATAATCACTTTTAATCGTGTAATAAAAATCTGATGAAAACAGAAAAATGTTGGAGTGTGGCCGGTAACCTTTAACACATGTTCGTTAAGCAAGTGAACACTAATCATTAACGTTATAAAAATCCTTTTTTAAAAATTTACATGTATAGCCGAACCGCTCCGGTGGCCTAGTGGTTAGAACTTCCGCCTCGGATGCGGGAGGTCGTGGGTTCGATCACCGGTCGAGTCATACTAAAGACTTACAAAAATGGTACTAACAGCTGTATCCGAGGAGGACGCTCGAAGTGGAAATCTGATTTTAATCATATTGCATATAACTTAATGTTGTCTTCATTGCCCAATTAATTTGTTCATTTAGATCAAATGACCACGACGATGATGATGACGATGACGACGACGATGAATATTACAGCTATTACAGATTGCGTTAAATTGTTTGATATCTATCATATTGTTCTTTGAATTAAACGCAATGTCATTTATGTTAAATTTAATTACAGTATAAGAATACTGTGCTGTACTTGAAACTTGTCCATATTTTAAATCTGGAATAAAATATTAATTAAAAATATGAATTTAAATTTTCAATCTGGAACAAATTATTTACGTGCAACAAAATTTTCCACTTTCATTTTTTAAATATTTTAATGATCTAAACAAATGCATTTTAAACTGTGGATTAATAGAGCATATGAAATTATTTTACCTGATTATGATAATATTTTTCTTTGCTTTTTGTGTGGATGTATTTCTACATGCGCTATTTCAGTTGATTGGAAACGCGAAAGTGGTAATTTAGAACACACATACTAATTTTGAGTTGTGGTTTTGTTTGAAGTGATTCATTACAGTTTAATAGATGATGTTCCGTAAAGTAACTTTGATATTTATGTCGTATACACATCAAAAATTCATATGGCTGAGAAGATATTTAAATGTATGATGAATTTTTTAATTATAATACTTGGTTCTTGCAGATACATCTTCCACACTACCAGGGCCGTAAAGTGCGATTACAGGCCCTGGGGTAAGAAACACAAAGACCTATCATAGTTCTTTTTAAAAAAAAAAAAAAAACATTTTTTCTTTTATAAAATTAAAAAGTGTTGTTCGGCCCAGGACTCCTTACAGGCCCGGACCTGAGCCCTGGGGATATATTCCCGGTCCCCCACCCGTCGCACCAGCACACTACTTAAATAATATTGGGCATGTTTCTATGGTGATACCCTAGAATAATTAAATTTGTAATTAATCTCCTCTGCTTGTTACTTTTTTGGACAAAGTGTTATAAAATAATGCCAGCTCAGTTCTTGTGTATGCCAGGCACAATATATTCATTGTATGATAATAAAAAAAAACTATTTTCAAAAGTAAAAGAGCCATCAAGAGTCCTGAGTGTCTATAGAATTTGGTGGGCTTGAACTATTATATTAAGTAATGCGCTAAAAGGAGAAACTTCGGACCAGACTTCGTTTTTAAGTGAAAACGAATGCAATAATTATTAACATATCTGATTGGAGAACTTTACCATATGGGAAGGCTACATGAAAATATTAATTTCTCGA